CAATGGCTGAAGACAATATGAAACATAGATTGCTGCTTCTGGCAGATCTATTCATTTTTAAAAAATATATATAATTTTTTTCCCACAATCAAACATTATCTTCACATACATTAATAAGCAAATGCAATAAAAATAAAAAATAAGACATTTACATACCATATTAAATCCATATTTTGGGATTCCTCCGAACCCTTGACTTCCCTCCATTCCCTTCCTCAGTTCTTTTGTGTTATTTTATGTTATACATGTCTATAATTTTCTTACCTTTAAATATTTTCAAATTCAAACACTGTACTTAGTATTACAAGTGATTTTAAAAAACCTGCTACTGTGTTAACTTCTTTACAATGCTTTTGTAAATATGCAATAAACATTCTCCTTTCTATTTTATATTTGCTGTCCTCTTGATTTCTTAGTCTTCCAGTTAATTTGGCCATTTCAGCATATTCCATTAATTTACGTTGCCAATCTTCCTTAGTTAGGACTTCTTCTTCTTTCCATTGTTGGGCTATCAATGTCCATGTGGCTGTTGTTGCATACATAAATAAAGCTTTATATTCTTTCGGTATATCTGTTCCAATTATACCTATTAAAAACGCTTCTGTTTTTTTAACAAAGGTTATTTTAAACATTTTTTTCAATTCGTTATAAATCATTTCCGAAAAGCCTTTTATGATCTTACATTGCCACCACACATGGTAAAATGTACCTTCTACCTCTTTACACTTCCAACATCTTTTGTTTTGTACATTATTGATAGTTTAGCCAGTGTTAAATACCATCTATACATCATTTTCATATAGTTCTCCTTAAGTGCCGTACATGCTGTGAATACTATATCATTTCTCAATAATCTGTCTGTCAACTGTATATTGTGTCCCCATCTTTTGCCCACTTTATCTTTACACATTTGACCTCTTCATCCTTTGTCTCCCATTCCAACAGTATATTATACATTTTTGATAATAATTTATAATCACTTTCTAGTATTTCCCTCTGAAATTTTGAGATTTCATATGCAAATCCTTTCTTTTTATCATTTTTAAATGTTTCACATAATTGAAAATATTGTAACCAATCTGTTACCTCTTCTTTTATTTCATTATATTGTTTTAATTTTAATTTATTATCCATTTCCATTAAAAGCTCTCTATATGTTCCCCAGTTGGGTTTCATATTTACTTTTTTCAAGACTATTGCTTCCAGTGGCGAAAGCCACAATGGTGTTTTTTGTTCTAGTAGATATTTATATTTTTCCCAAACTTTAAAGATTGTCTTTCTTATTATATGATTCTGGAAGCTTCTGTGTACCTCGGCCTTCTGATACCACAGATATGCATGCCATCCAAATCTATTGTCATGACCTTCTAAATCTAGTAAATCTACATTCTTCAATGTTATCCAATCCCATATCCAGCACAGACAAGAGGCTTCATAGTATAGTTTTATATCTGGTAGCGAGAAGCCTCCTTTTTCTTTAAGATCAGTTAATAACTTATATTTTATTCTTAGCTTCTTGCCTCTCTAGATAAATCTTGAAATGTCTCTCTGCCAATCCTTAAAATAATTCGTGTTACTTATCACTGGGATTGATTGAAATAAAAATAACATTTTCGGCAATACATTCATCTTAATCTGGCAGATGTATTCAAACCACCTTTACTCTGGTAAACAGTTTTTGAATTGTGACAAAATCCTGAAAAAAATCTTTTTAACCAAAGTCAACAGCTGGACAAAACAATTGTGCATTGTAAATTATAGGAGGTGATGCCTCTTCTCATACTACTTCTCTGTAAAAAACAACGTCTACCTCCTGCCTAAAATGAACCACCAAGATTTTACTGCTGCTGCTGTTGACAGATCATATGCATCGGTAACAATTTCTGACAAGGAAATATCTTTAACAACAGTATGAGAGACATAGATTTGATGTGTAAAACATTCTCCAGCATGGATAGACAGTAACTGGGAAAGCATGATGTTTTTGTTGGTTTTATAGCTTCTGAAGGAATAGGATGTCTGCCAGAAAACGTCTGGTAACACTGATAGAAGAGCCTGTTTTTAGGTTTGAAATTTCCTTTTCAAAATATCTCATTTTCCTGCTTTCTAAGCAATTCACAATATACGAAAGGATAATCATAATACAGGAAGTTGGCCTCGGGATGTTGGTCTTCCTGCTTCATTACAACATATATCAATATTAATGTTGAACATCTTGCTATTTAATTCATCTTTTTAAAATTACATTAAGCTAATTTGTTTCTGCTCCAGACAAGGGCAAAGTTGTTAGGCTAAAATGTTCCATTGAAAACTATTATGTTAGAATGTGAAAGAAAGCTGTCAAATATAGTTGTTAAACACAACACTAATTTGTTACAGCTTCTGGTAAGGACTGGTTTAAATGGCATGTCTAACATTTATGAAATAATTATACAACAAATCATTATTGTAGCAGCTCTGGGTATGAGAGAGATAGCTACATCATGATATTGATGATAAATTCATCAATCATATTTGATGCTTAAACAAATTATTTTATATTTCACATTAAGTGCTTGGTTAACTGTGATCACTTTTAACAAGGGGCAATATTCAATTAATAATCTTAATGACCATGGTAGTTAGCCATCAGCATTTGCAACATCAGCAGAGCCTATGTCGTGCACAATAGTAATTTGTTGAAGTATGAGCACTTGGTAAAGAGACTGTCCAGCTTGTGCTGGAAGCCTCTAGTCTCAGACATTTGTCTTCCTTAAGGAGCTTTGGATCTGGTCCAAAGAGGAAACTACCACTTGATATGCCATAATTCTAGGCTTGTTCACATGTTACACTGAACACAGGTCCAAACTGCCTCTACACACCCAAAGACCTGTGTTGGCCCATCAGTACACACAGAAGTTATTGAAAGTTTGTCCACCTTTGGCTCCTCAACATGCACTCAGTTCTCACCTTTGGCTCCTAGAAGCTGTCAGCGAGTGACAGCGGCCACACCCTGGGAATGGCTTTGACTGGATAGCCAATGGGTCTCAAACTCTCAGTGAGTTAAGAACTTCCTCTTGCATGTGAAGACAGTAGAAGACTAACAGTGCCTCCAACAGTCAAGAAGGCAGTTGATGCATGTGCTGTAAAGGGAAATGAGGGGCAGATGGGGCTTGTAAACCTGGGAAGGTAGCCCAGGAAAAGGAAAACTCTGATTCTAAGCCTCCATTGCCTTGTGGCTATAGTCTTTTGTGAGAAAGGCTTTGGGAGTAAACTCAAGGAAAAATTTGTACCCACTGCCTTGTGGGACATACTTGGAAGAAGAAAAAGCAAAGGAGTAAACCCTACACAAGAGTGGAGTCCCTAAGATGGTTGGGTGGTGTCTTGTATGCCTCTTTCTGGCAACTCCTTCAGCCAACCTGGTGCCAAATGTAATGTCTGTAATTGTCATCTGGGCAGTCCAGGAGCTCCATACAGCAAAAGCAACATGGGAGCCAGCAGTTATGAGTTATGGGTCTCTGCAGCCATGGTGGGTGCTGTGATTCTACAGCAGTTTGACTTTGCCCCCAGAAGCACACTCCATTTGTCGTTTGAGACAGATGGATGCCAACATGTATTTTGTGTTCTCGTTTTGTATTTTTGTGTTGCGATCATCATCATAATCAAAATCATTATCTTATAGTGGACCTCTTCCAAAATAAGTCTGCATCTCTGCTCCATAAAAAAGTGTAAGATGACGCTGTTCCCTTATGTCACCTTCACCCTGTGTCATCTTCATTGTCTTTATCATCTGTTAGACAGATGCACGTTCAGCGCATGTCGTACTGCAGAGATAGCTCCCATCACCCCGATCATTGACTATGCTGGTCAATTGACCATGCTGGTCAAGTTGAGTCCAACCACTAGTGAGCACCATGTTGTGTACCCATGACCTATTGTGATGAAACCACAGCTATGGGAATTTCTAGGGAATGTCTCTCTAGTAGGGTCTACCAAGTATAGTATCTTAGAATCTTTAGAAGGCTTATTCAGACTGTAATTTTAACTAGGCGTATGGCCTCATTGGGCACAGTAGGAACACATAATATTGTACTGCAAGACATTTTTATTTAGCTAAATTCATAGGCATGGAAGATTATGTTATTCCTGGTGTTGTTTTTCCTCTCCTTGTCCTCTGATTTAATTATCTGCCTTGATTATTTTGAATTTATTAGAAGCGTTTTTTGGAAGATTTTTTTAAAAAAGAAAAATCTTCCATTTCTTTCAAAACTGCCTGGCTGGTGGGTTTTTTTGGCCATTAAAAGGTGGTATCTAAATGCCAAGTAGGGTTTCAATCCTCTTACTGCAGGAAAATGCCACTCAACACAGTGGGACTTACTTCCAAGTAAACATGCATAGGATTGGGTTGCACATTACATGTTGAAAGCTGATGACATAAAACTTAAATGCTTTAAAGCAAGATACTTTTAAAGCATTGCACATATGGGGCAAAATATAAATGAGTTTCCAGATGTGACCTGCCAATAGAGAATAAATACAAGATTATATTTCTGTAGCTCATGTCCATCTATCTCACTGAGCACACAACAGGTAAAGGGGTATGGCTCATTAGCTATAGCTCATTAGATGTTATTCTACTTCTCTCCCTACACCGAATGTTCCCACAACTGTTATTGAAACAGGTCATGCCTCATTATATCCTAAGAAAAAGTTTTCTGTATTCGTGCCATGCTATCAAGTTGTAGGCATCGCTCCGATAAAAGCTAGATGACATATTCGGGATTGCTTGGACATAAAAGAATTTTCTAGCGATAACCTCCAGGTCTGGGGCTCATTTGCTGGGCAGCTGCATTTACTTCACCCTGAGGGCTGTTTTCTGTGAAAGCAGCAAATACAAAACATGCTTTCAGTAGTGCCACCAAGGGAAGACTTGGGTAGAAGATGTCCTGGGCCTCACTCAGCAGAATGAGGAGGGCCCCAAAACAAAGCATTTTGAAGAACAAAGAAGTAATATACGTTACCACTTAGAGACGCCCCTATCCTATTCCCTGTCCAGTAAGACCATTAAGTCCAGAATCTGAAATGACAGAACAGCACACGGCACACTTTGAAGCTTCATTGATGTAATTATCTTACCTCTTCTGTGAAAACAGCCCCACACAGCCAACCTGAACTAATGGAAACCAATTTAATCTCTCCTCTCTCTCTGTGACAAGCCATGCCCCTGCTCAAAGCAATGGCTGGCATTCTTCCAGAGGAAAACAAACACATTTTAAAACATTTCCCTCTGAAAGACGGAAGCAAGAAGAATACAGTGGTTAAAGTCCACAGTCCAATTTGACTGTTCCACAAATGAAGCTAGTAGTTACCTATAAATGTTACTACTATGCAACAGCAGGCACTCGTGATTTTTTGTTTCCTGGAAGCAGCAATGGCCCATAAATATGTCCCTTGTTCTCTGGATCAAAGCCAAGATCCAAAACATATAATTATTATGTACCAAACACTCAATAAGTATTTTGGTGAGGGAGAGGTTGCTACATTATAACCTATTATATTCCATCTCTATTTAACAGAATGATGCAGAAGGGAGTTGTTTCCCCAAGCAATTTTATAAAGAAGACACCTTCTAAAAGGACCGACTGCATGTAGAGAATTCATTCACATGCATTTAATCTTCTACCTGCATTGTTTTCAGCCAATCGTTTGCTACATTCATGCCATACATTTAAAGCACCATGATACCACATAAAGTCTTGATAGAAATACATCTGGGAGCTGTTGTTTGTAAAGGATGCTGAGAGTTGTTAGGAGACCCTAAAAGACCTGCAATTCCCAGAGTGGTTTAACCATCAATCCCTCTTCATAGTGAATTCTGGGACTTGTAGCTCTGGGAAGGCAACAGGAAGTCTCCTAACCCTAACTCCTAAAACTAGAGTTCATATATTTTTTTGGGGGGGGAAGCTGTGCCTAAATGGTATCATAAAGCTTTAAATGCACTCATGAGTTCCACCCAAGGAGCTCATGAGTTCCGCCCATTTTATTATCACAATGTAATCACAATTATCACAGTAACCAGGGGTTGCCAGTGAGGTACCTGCAGGCACTCAAATACCCACAGAAGTCTTCCCTGCTTCTTGCAGGGTCCCTCTCCCACCACTAAAATCATACTTGAAACAAATATTCCATTGGAGGCAGAATAGGTTGCAGTGTGCCCTTAGTTGTAGTGGGATATGGTGTTCATCATGGCAGTTTCTTCAGTATGCAATGGTGTCCCAAGGGCCCCAAAAGCTGACAACTGCTGCCCATCACAATCCATCACACAATGTGTCTCTCAAAATAAAAGACCATCCTTCTGTAAAGACAGATGTTGTGCTGGGGTGTGTGTGTGTGTGTGTGTGTGTGTGTGTGACAAATCCAAGGTTTAAGTTCCTGATCAGCTCTAAAACTCACTGGGTAGCTGAGAGTTCATTCAGAAAGGAGCATCACTGAAGAGACTTACCGATGAGGTTTTTTAGGACTGCAGCCTTAGAGTTCATTTCACAATCTTTCAACCTATCTCAGTATTTAGCTGTTGTGTGGATAAATGAAATACCCCTTTATAAATGCCTTGAGTTACTTGGGGGCAAAGATGAGATTCAAAAGATAGTGAGATAATGAAATGAAGCATCTGTGGGAAGAGGGGAGCTGTTTGCTGTGTGTGAAATTAGGCAACTTTATTTTTGAGCAGATTGCGCGTTTGCTCCTAAGGACACATCCCTGTGTTCAACTCAGTTCCTGAGAAGTGTATTTAGGACTGCAACCTTGGAAGTCTTTTATCGTTAATTTCTGATATGCAAAATTGAAATCCTAAGCTTGCTGACCTGGGTTTTACTGCTAAACTGACATGTTTAGAGAGCTCCACCTGCCCACACTTAAGCAGCCGCGGCTCTCACCCATTGCATAATACTACTTTTGGAACACGCAGCCTTCACGCTGACCTGAAAACACCCCGAAGTTAAACGCTATTGTCCCTTAGCGCTGCGTTCCCAAATTCATTTACTTGGGATTAAAACCTGTGGAACCTAAAACGCCGCTTACTACTTCCCTGTATCCATGCCCTAGCGTCGACCTGTTATGTCTCCTTGGGCTGCTTCTGGCTTATACGACGCAACTCCATTTCAGGCGTGCATTACGCATTTGTGCATTGTGTGTCGATGGCGAAGCCCCCCTCCTCCAGCGCAGCATTTATTCATTTATTTATGTATCCCCCTCCCCCGCAGCCTCGCCTCCCAAAGGCGCGTTTGCAGCAGCGGCCGCCGAAATGCTAATGGTTCCCATCCTGTGCGCACGCGCGCAGCGAAACCGGACGCCCTTCCAGTTCCTCCCCATCTTGAAATTGCCACCGCGACGCTTAAGCTCCTCGTCTCGGAAAAAGCCGAGCCGCCGGGCAGCGCAGGCACGCATGCGCAGCAAGCCAGCAAACCACCGCTCGGCGTTCCCTTATCCCCCGCTCCCTCCCCACAATCTGCGGGCTGCGAGTGGAACCGCCAGAGGCGCACGCGCACTTCAGAACCTCTCCGGCCGCCCATCTCCTCGCCGCAGCGCTCCGCCCCCTTTCCCTCCCTCCCTCCGCGAGCCTGGCGCTGTCTTTTATCGCTCTGCTGTTGGCGGGGGTCGCTGTTGCAGCGCTATGGCCTCGCCCGCTTGCCCTCCTCCTCCGACGTCGCCTCAGCCCGTCACTCACCTCATCTTTGACATGGACGGTCTCCTCCTGGGTGTGTAGCGCGCCGCCCTCCGCTCCCTTTCCCCCTCCACTCTTGCTGCCGGGTATAGTAATAGTAACTGGGACTTAAGCAGTGCGCGCTTCCTCTCGCCGTCGCCGCGGGGCTTGTGGAGAGCTCGGGCGCGTGGCTGTCGGGCTGCCCTCGGCGGCGGGGTCACGGAGCAAAAGTGCAAAGAAGGGCGGCGATATCCCTCCTCATGTGGTGCTTCAGTTCCCCACCCCGCACCCACTTCCCATTTCTTAGGCGCTGGTCTGAAAATGCAGATGAGTAGTGTGTGGACATGCTCACTCCCCCCCCCCTCGCGCGCGTGCCCAAGCCCAGGAATTTTAATGCATTTGCCCAGGCTGTCGTCGTCCCACTGCATTTATTTTAGGGGCTGTGCAAATGCGTCTTGTGCGCGCGCCTATCTAGAGCGTGACTTCCGCAAACAGGAAATCAAAGGAAGGGCAGGTTTTGGAGAACGGTGCTGACAGGGGGTGTGTGGATGGGGATCGCGATAACCCGGTTTGGTCACTTGGGGTGCTTCTTGCATGGGTTTTTTTTTTGGGATGGGATTCGGTCACGTATCCACAAAAGCAGCTTGCACGATTGAACTGGAATGAAAGGGAGCTGCTCTCTCTTTCCTGCTCCTCGCCTCCCTCTCCAAATCGATCTTTTTATAGCAAAGAAAGGTGATGGGGGGTGGGTGGGGAGGTAGCACGAGATAACAGTGATTCATGAAGCAGTGCCCTCTCACTTCCCTGCAGACCCTCAGAACGGAGGCTCAACAAAGAGCTGATTTAACGCAAGGTTTGACAAATTCATAAATGCATGATAAACTGGATCCGGAAAGGTGTCACATAATACTTGTTCTGCATTTATAAGAAATCGGCCTTTTAGTGTGTTGGCTCTCACACTTTGGAACTCACTTCCTATTGACATCAGGCAGCTGCCTTCACTATACTCTTTTCGGCACCTGCTAAAACATTTGTTTATATAGGCCTACTCATAAATGTAGATTGTTGACAAGTGTTTTCATTTGTTTTTAGCTTATTTTCTTTTCTTTGTTATCTTTTGAATGTTTAAACTCTTTTTATTGATAATTTTATTCCTTTTGTAAACTCTTTTGAGGTTTTTTAAACAATCTAGCAGCATCTAAATTTTATGAAATAAAATAATAAATGAATGAGTCATCTGGAGGTGACTTTAGACTTTAAATATGGTAGTTTTAGTTCTGCTGAAACGAACAGGATTTTTGATAGCAATTATGTGCAATTCTAAAGGGATACTGTAATCCTATACTGTATTCACTTGTTCACATAAGGTTGTGAAGTAGGCAGCAATGGCAGCTTGTTTCCTATTATTTGATTATAGAGTTGTAAACAGAAGGATAGTCTTGCATTTGTTTGGTATAGATCACAATGAGAGCGCTTGCTTGAAAAATTTGCAGTTGCGATTAAATGGCCTTCAGGATTGCAATGCTAACCAAGGCATTGGTTCACATTGGGAATAGAATATTAGTGTAATTGTTTGCTGGATGGGACTCCTGTAGTCAGTATGTTGTGCCCATAGAATACACTGAAAACAAGTTTCTCCCCATAAATACTTAACATGGAAATATTAGCAAAGCTGTTTGCGGAAGATAGAAATTTTGTATGGCCGATACTTGTCAGTATGGTATTAACCTGTTATTTAGGTAATTTATTGACCCGCTGTAACTTAAGTGGGGTAGCAGCAGTATTGCAACAAAGGAATATTTATTGTACTTGATCATTCATAATTACTACAAGATTTTTACACATTGCATCTGGTTTGAAGGCTGCAGCACATGGTTTGCAGATATGGCTTAAAGTTCTCTAAAGTGGTAAATTATAGGGCTAATTCTTGCTGTCCTTTGAAAGACCAGCTGCATTTGGAAATGGTTTTCCCTTTTGTACATGCTACAATGTATGTTTGTTTTGTGCTTGAGGATATCTCCTCAAGTCCAAATAAAAAGCCTTGGGTAAACCCATGTTGGGTGTATAATTACTAGTGATTTGTGAGTACTATTGAAAGACACACATAAATTAATTGGATTGTAATGGGAAACAGTTTTTATTAATTGAATTAAATAGGCAAGGTATTAATCACACAAGATTTGCCCAAACAATTTAGGCCATTGATGGAGCTCTTGCCCCTGTGGCCTGGCTGTCCCACCAAAAATGGCCTCCAGGGGCTGGCACAGAGCTGAGCTGCTCCTGTTGACAAGCCTGCTAACATTCTGTGAGCATATGACAGCCACCCAGCAATGCTACCTGTCTGACATTTTCCCCACTATCAAAGCAACAACAGGTCAGCTAGCTGTCCTAACTTCTTCTATATGCCACAAGTGATATTTCCTGCCTTTTAATCAGCTCCCTGGCTCTTCATCCACCACCAGCACATCTGCCAAGTTGTGATGAATTATTAGGCAACCAAGTGCAACTGAGTCCTCCTTGGCCCTGGGAAAGGTGAAAAATGTGATGTGTCCAGTGCTAATTAGCTGGTTGATTTTTAAAAAAAAAATCCTTCCAGGTTCCAAATGATATGTCATCTTCATTGCCAGAGATACAAACACAAGGTGGGTGCAAAACTTAGGACAGTAGAAGCAAACAAACAACTTGAAATCTCCCCCTCCTCCTCAGATTTTAATAGCAAAAAGGAGTGTCTTTATTGCCAGCTTTCTATAATAATACTCAGTTAAAGTTGTACAAAAAGTGTAGTACTGTACCACCTAAGAATGTCCACAAAATTGACAGCGTTGGACCTCAAATATTGCCCCCTCTCCTGCAAAAGTCTTAAAGGTTAATGTATAATGCCCAAGCCATTCAGCTTCCAGGGGAGAGGCTTCTTCTCATCCCCTGTATCTCAAGCAATCCCATACCACATGGTCAACTGTTCCTTCCAACTCACAGATGTCACAAGAAAAGTGTCAATCTGTCTGACATTGAATAAATTACTCCAAAAATGTACAGTGCCATGCCAAAAACCTAAACAGGCCCACTTGTTTCATCTTTAGCTGCTGGTTAAATATCCAGAAAACTCCCCAAAGAAAATTACCTCTCACTTGTGAGATCTGCTTTCCATAATTTTTGATCATCACTCATCCGCTTGACCCAACATTTTACTTTCAGAGAGGACAAAGGCAACACAGTGTCAAGTCTTTATACCCCAAAGTGTCCTTGGCTGTTTGATCTGCTATCTCATTACTAGCAAATGCTACGTGAGTTAGAATTTAATAGAAGTTTAACAGACTGGTGACAGCAGCCACGAAATTAAAAGACGCCTGCTTCTTGGGAGAAGGGCAATGACAGGCCTAGACAGCATCTTGAGAAGTAGAGACGTCACCTTGCCAACAAAGGTCCGTATAGTTAAAGCCATGGTCTTCCCAGTAGTGATGTATGGAAGTGAGAGCTGGACCATAAAGAAGGCTGATTGCCGAAGAATTGATGCTTTTGAATTATGGTGCTGGAGAAGACTCTTGAGAGTCCCATGGACTGCAAGAAGATCAAACACATCCATTCTTAAGGAAATCAGCCCTGAGTGCTCACTGGAAGGACAGATCGTGAAGCTAAGGCTCCAGTACTTTGGCCACCTCATAAGAAGAGAAGACTCCCTGGAGAAGACACTGATGCTGGGAAAGATGGAGGGCACAAGGAGAAGGGGGCGACGGAGGACGAGATGGTTGGATAGTGTTTTCGAGGTTACCAGCATGAGTTTGACCAAACTGCGGGAGGTAGTGGAGGACAGAGGTGCCTGGCGTGCTCTGGTCCATGGGGTCACGAAGAGTAGGACACGACTAAACGACTAAACAACAACAAACAGACTCAAAGACCCATTAACTGTAATTCTTAATTCAGCAACCATATTTCCTTTCCCAGATTGCACTTGCATCCCATACTCCTATTCTCAATCGCCAACAACCAAGACAAGGTGGGACAAGCCCAGTGCCCCACTGGGTCTCACATCCTTAGATTACTAAAAGCCAACTTTTTCTTTGAAAGGTAATATTGTGTTTCAGAATCTCCCCCCCCCCAAAAAAAAGTAACAAGTTATATTTTATAACCATCACCCTCACCATTGCTATTGAAACTCAATTGGATAGTTGAATCCTAAACATTGGGACATAGAAAAGCTATACTCACCTGTGCATGCCATGGCTTCCAGGACCCATCTGTCTATGTTAAACACCATTCATCCCACCAGGAAAAAAATATTCTTTATGGTTATTCTTGGACCCTACTGGTCTACAATAACTTTTTACTTCTCAACTCACAACTCAAATCAAAATCACCCATTCCCACCCATAAAACAAACAACCAGGCATTTAATGAGCAATCTGATTTAGCCCCACATTATATCATACCTATACCACAGTCTTTGTATGAATAGCATTAAGTTTCCACAATAAGGACCCTGAGGCAGATACATGTCCTGACAGCAGTACTCCTTAATAGATATAATAAATGCACACTAGAACATCAATAGTGTTTTCCTATCCACCATCATGTACTACCTAAAAAGCTCTTCATTGGATTCGGTAACACTTTACATCTATTTATTGTATACAAAATACGCTGCTTCCAAGTGTGTGTTTGTGTGTGTATGTGTATATATATGATACTTAGAAATTTGTAACTTGAGACTACATTGAATCTTTTTTGGAAAACAGATACATACAATCTCCCTAGAATGTAATCTCCCTAGAAAGCACCATACCCACAGTTTTGCGCAGATAAAATTAGAATCCCACAACCCTCCCAATTTCTCCTAACTTACTTAAATCTTCAATTTAATTTCCTCTTGGTCACTTTATCCATCTTGCTATGAACACATTCCTATTGAGTATGTATGCAGACACTTGTGCATTCTAGCAGCCACCAGCACCTCAGTTTTCTCTACATTCGTTATATGCAGTTTCTTATCCTCAGTAATCAAAGCTAAAATACTGGATAACATTCGGTTTCCTTATCTGCCTGTAAAGCAACACAATTGGTGTATCTATAAAGAGGTTTCCACAAACTTGCCTCCAGCTATATTGTTTAGCCTTCTTGAGAACACTTTTAACTATAGCTGTTTGTCATTGGTATTCCATTAAAACTTCCCCTCCAACATATGCCTGACCTTTTAGAAGGCTGCTTTGTGCTCCTTACTGCATTAATCTGTCCACCATGGAATTGTATTCCAGTTACTTCTCCTATTCAGGAGTAGCCTGAAAAGCTGCTTCTAGTATACCTTGTACCAACGTTTTCAGAAATCAGCTCAGGACCTTGAAACTCAAGACCCAACAGTGCCCGGTTATTTATGCCTAAATGGTTCTGAACCAGCTTTCTTAAAAATCCACATAGAAACCATGTCTATGGCAATCCTGAATCCCAAACAATGATCATTATTCATATTGGTTTCCTCCATAACTTCCCAAACACACAGCCACAATAAACCTTGACACTTTCCTACTCATTCATTGTATGAATTAACACAGGCCTCTTCAACCTCAGCCCTCCAGATGTTTTGAAACTACAATTCCCATCATCCCTGACGACTGGTCCTGCTAGCTAGGAATCATGGGAGTTGTAGGCCAAAAACATCTGGAGGGCTGAGGTTGAGGAAGCCTGAATTA